CTCCCTCACTTTCCCCCTTGTGCCTACCTCTCCCCTTCAACCACACAAACCTAGATAAGTTCGTCTGGTTAATCACTCCATTTCAATGCCAGAGTCTTTTGCTGTACCTCCACAGTTAGGACATATCCCTCTTAAACAGCACCTTAATTATATAGTTTAAATAGTTGCTAAAACCCCACCCTCCACATGTGCCCCTTTCATGGTTCATAACATTATCTTCTCTTTCTACCAGTGCTGTAAGCATAATGCAACTTTTTTTTTTTTAAATTTACCCAGTGTACTAGTTGGTGCATGTCTCTGTCTTGGCACAGGTTTGTAAATGTCATTGTCATTCCTCACAGAGGCTAATTTCTCCAAACCAGAGAATAATTTATTTAAGATAATCCATTAAAACATCTTTCATGAAGATATACTAAGTAAATAATATTTGAGGACTAGAATACATACACAAAAATATATTCTTTCTTGCTAATCATGACTAAATCATGTGTTAACCTAAGGAGCAAATGTTAACAACACCTTAAGTAAAAATTTTTGTCAATTAAACTAACATATCAAAATGGTGTCTTGTTTACATAAAATGACAAGAATTCCTGTTCCAAAAAAGTGTCAAATCCAAAATAGATGACTGTTGGTGCCTATCTAGTCAAACTGCAACTGAAAAACATCTAATTTTTCAAAAGGAAATGATAAACCAATTTGATCTATTGTTCAACATATTTTCTTAAAGTCTTCACAGCTTCAATTTCCTGCCAGAAACTTACTTCTGGTCTCTCCCTCAAGACACTAAAAATTTTGACATTTTTCCTTTATCAAATTGAGATAAATTTCAACCTATGCTCTGGGTCCTGTGAGAGGGGCAAAATAATTACTAAAGAGCATTGTACCTGTCAAAACTTCTTTCCCTTCCTTATCAGAGACATTCTCCTTTACAGAATTTAACTTTTATACTGAATGGACCTTATTTCTTGATTACATTTTCCTCTATTATACAGATGCATGCAAAATATTACTTTTGTTTTTATACCTAAAATAATGTATTTCATTTTCTATCCTCAAGATGGCTGAGTCATCAGGATAGAAATTAGAAGTCAGGGAACGTCTCTTGAAGAAAATGGTTTATAATAAACAGGAAGGAGTAGCACACTGATTATGGAATATGCTGAGAAAAGGCTATCGTAAAATTTAAATTTAAGGGATTATAACAATACAAAATTGGTTAAAGCTAAGTCACAGAGCCAATAAGACCAGCAAAGCAGGGACTGTTGGTTGACTCCAGAAATCATAATAATTTTATTTGACCCAGAACAAGAATAAAGACCCCTAGAAGAATGTTGTGCAGGAAGCTGGTCCTAGAAAATATCTACATTAGTTATGTGACTACTTTGAATGAGTCTCAAAGTTGGAAATTCTGTGAGAATAAAACTTGAATTATTGGGTGTGATATGCAGAAGGAAAATTAATGATAAAATTAATAACAGGAGCCCTGAAGTGTTCTGAGATTTTTTGTTATATCTCAGTAAGCAAAAAAGTAGAGGACTGGTGACTCAAACAAATGCAAATTATGAAGTATTTCTAGGTTCTGCAAGTGAACAAAAAGGATTTGAGAAATAACTTGTTTTAGAGTAATGAAATAAGCAAAAAAGTAGAAAGTTATTGGTCTACTTTCCTATCTGTGGCTTTTTAGAATAATTTGCTCAGTTTTAATTATTTTAAAAAATTATGTTTTAAAATTTTATCAAAACTATAAGAGGACTGAATGCAATTTGCAATTTAAGGCTGGTTTCAAATGCTAAATGACATTTGATTCTTTCCAAAAATTCTTTTATGAAATTAACTTGAAGGTTTATAAAATCTCTCTAAATAGCCAGAAGTACTTTCAGAATAATCTGGGATATAACTAGTTATTTTACTGACTCATAAGAATTTTGTGTATTTACTGGAAATTACATTGATAATGTGTCACATTGAGTTTTTATTGTCAATAGAAAATTTGGTGAGTATTTGATTTTATAAACAGTGAAGTTGGGTGAATAAAAATGCAAGCCTTTGCTCATATCTTTACTAATAATAAAATAAATTTCATATTTACATCTCCCTCAAATCCATTTAAAAATAGGTCAACATTAATTGCAATGTATAAATGGTCTTTCATAATCTTGAATCAATGCCACCTGTCAGCAAGTTTTCCCCTTCATTTTCTTCCCTGATGAGTGAGTTTCCATACCACTTCTATTAGTTGTCTAGAACCATATATATAATGTATATATACAAACATACATATATTTGGTCATATCTGTCCTTTAATGATTGCTTTCTGTTTGGAGAAGAGAAAAATATCCTAGAAAGAACACAAAGTATGTACCTTACTAAACAGAGTTATAATTATTTATAATTGTGACCAGATAAAAGGATATACTAGATGCTTTAACATTAAGGGTGATGAAACTGTCCCATTAGGAGCATGCTCTGAAGAACTCCCATAATGTTGCAATTGTGCAAGAGCCTTATGCATTTTTCAATTCTGCCTTTATAGCACTACATATTATACAACACTAAATGAGTTTTAATCATCTCCAAGTTGGGACCTAAATTAGCAGCTAACTTTTAAACATTACTGCATCTGAGAAAAGGGTGAAAAGTATTTTTTAATGTCTTTTGCTAAATTTTACTTGGAAAAAAGAATATAGAGGGGAAATTAAGGTAGTAGTATAAGTTACAAGTTGAGGAAATGTTCATTTCATTCAATTATTTCTTAAAATCTCATTTTTATATCATCTCAAATCAAATTTATATGAATATTGTGAACATTTTAGCAGTAAGAAGTTTGGGATTTGAAATAGGTAATTACATTAGTCAGTCTCTTCCAGTCTTTTGCTATCCTGGCTACCTAAATAAGCTTTACTAGTAGCTCTAAAATGCGTCACCAACAGGTATGAAAACAAGTTAAAAATAATGGGCACTGAATATCACAGCTAACAATGTTAGCCTAACTTTAAAGAAACTACCTTTTAGGCTGCAGAGATTTTTAAATGATTAGTGTACTGGAAAACTAACAATGTGTGTCAGATTATGTGCATCATAGGCTGCACTTGCTTCAGTGGACCTAAACTGTGGAGAGAAGGGAAATTGCAAGAATGTAATTGGGTGGGAGGTGAAGAAGATGGAGTATACTGCACTCACTACAACCATCATGAGAATTTGGGAGAGGTAGTCTATGAAGCTCATGGAATCAGGATAGCTTGTCTTTGAATATTTCAACCACAGATTCAAAGAAACCTTTCAGACTTTTTAAAAGGGATTTTAATGGAGCATTCTTCCTTCCTACATATACTCTAGCTCTTTCTTCGATGACTGAGAAATAGAGAAGACAGATGTTTTTTATCTGAGAAAGAGGGAAGGGGAATGAATTGGTGGGAATCTAGGAAGGTGGAATTTCAATAGCAAATATGGAAAGAGAACAAGCAGCAGAAAAGATGGGCCAGCCACTGCAGGACTCTGTCTTAGTCATCTTTATAACCCCCATGGCACCTTAGCACAATGCACTGCACACAGGGGGGCAGTAGATAAATAATGAATTAGGTTTAATTCAATTCACTCACATTTACACTGTGCTTTTCGGTTACAAAGCCCTTTCCACATATTAGAAGAGAAAAAGTCAATGAGGAATAAAGGGGCTAGAATGGGATACAATTAAAATAGAAAAAGAAAAATCTACAATAATAAGCAAAAGATAGAAAAGGTTCAGAAAAGGAAAGGGAATAAATTGAGTTTCTCCTTGTCAGTTTCAACCCTTTCCAATCATCACAGTTTTCCTGCTGAAGTACCTGGGGCTTAGAAAGTATGACTGCTAAGCAAGCCCAAAGAAAAGGGGCTCCCTCACCTTCAGAAAGGGCATTTTCAAAGATAAGCCTAACTGATCTGAGTTCGTGCTCAGGTATAACCTCAAGCAAAGCTCTAACATTACAAGTGTCTTCCAATCATGGCCAAGAGATTCCTTTATTCCATTCCTCCACTGCTCAGCATTCCCCAAATCTTGGGGAAGAGGTGGGTCCTAGGAAAGGACTGGGGAGGCTTTCTACAACCCCCCAAAATCAGACAACAGAGGGAGGTAGTGAGGCAAGATAGCCCAGGGACTAAGAAAAAGCCCACGTTTGCGACTAAGAGGATGAATGTCTATGACTGTAGTTGTTGAAACTGCCAGGGGCAAAAGGCAGTGGTAAGGGCTTCAATATGGAAGAAATGAGAGGTGTACTTGAAGGCGTCTTACAACTGGCATTGAGCCCTTAGCAAAAAGCCACCAGATCCAAAGCCTCAAGCGGCCTGAATCTTGGCAAGCAGAGGGCAAGCGGGGATGCGCAGGAGGGAGCCCACACAAAACCAGCGCCTATGCTGTCCCAAGGGAGGCATGTTTTCCCCACTCCGAAGTAGCGTGTCTCCCGAGAATTCTCTGCCCAACATGGGGGAGGGGGTTCCCAGCTCTAAATGGGGGCGACCGCGTCCTGACCCCATTATGCGGGCTTAAAAGTTGCCAGGAGAGTTGGCGCTAGACACACCTGGCAGGGGTAGCCACCAAGGGGGCATCAGGTTTCCCAGGAACAAAGAGGTCCGCAAAGAGGAGACTATGGAACCAGGTCCTTGACGGGGACGGGGGACTCTCTCTGAGATGGGAGACCGGGGTCGCCACGTCCTCCCGGCCTTCGGGGGACGCCGAGGGGAGCGTGGAGTGGGCAAGATTCGCCTCGCCAGGATTCCACCGCCCGGCTTCCTGCTTCCAACCAGGTGGCGCCCGCCACCCTCTCTCTCTCCGCGCCCCTCTGGCTGGAAACAAAAGGAGCCCGGGGACCTTGAGCCCCAGTCAGCCTCTAAGGACCCCCGCCGCCACCCAGCATGCCAGGATAAGCTGGTGGAAGCTTCGATGGCGGGCTGTGCCCGCGGCGGGCGCCCCTCCCTTCCTCCCTCTTGCCGGGACCCTGCGCCCTCCCCACAGCAGGCATTACCTTTCATCCAGTCCACTACTTGACTCGGAGACCATTTGCTCACAGGTTCCATTATCAGAGCCATGGGCACAGGGTTGGTTCCGCGTGGGGCGCGAAGCTCAGGGACAAAACGAAGTCAGCAACCTGAGCCGCCCTCAGGTGGGGTCCGCCGCAGCCTCCCAGTGTCAGTGGCACGAAGAAAGCGGCTTTTGTGTGTCGGGTCTGGAGGCTGCAATTTCTCTTAGCCGGCAACTGGGAGGAAAACGCGCCGGGGTGGCGGCTCCGCGCCGGGTCTGCTCAGTCCCAGCTGAGGCGGCTGCCGTAGCTGCCGCTTCCGCCGCTCCGCTCCGGTCTCCGTCCCGGCGGGGCTTCAGTTCATGGTTTGCGCTGCCAAGAGTCGCGGGGTTGAGGGAAGGAACCGCTGCCGCACGTCCGCAGCCAACTTGCCCGCTCGCCTCGCGCGCGGGAGTGAAGCCCCCGACACGACGAGCTGCCTGGCGGAAATGACGAGGGGCCTCCTGCCACCCAAAATATCTCTCCGCAGCCCTCGGGTGCGGGGCGCGCGCGCCACGAGCCCCCCGCCCGCTCACTGCCGCGCGGTCCCGCCTCCAGGGCCGACGGCAGGCACGCGAGGCGCGTGCGCGTGTCAGCACGAGGCCGGAGCCCAGGGTCTGTCTGGCAGGCAGGCAGGCAGGTGCCGGCAGCTTGCAGCCTCGCGTTCCCGCCCTGGGGGCCGCCCGGGGACAGAGGCGCGCAATGAGCGCGTGCGCGGCGGTGGCGGCGGTAGCGGCGCAAGCCCGAGTCTGAGCCGTGGGTCAGTCAGTCAGGTGCGGGCGTGAGGAGCGCGGCTCTGAGGGGCCTTTGAGGGGACGGGGCGGCGGTGGCAGGGAGCCCACCAGTTGAACTGTGACGGCTGAGGAGGTACCTGCCTCCCCGTCATCGAGGGGAGGAGGACTCCACTGAGCGCGGGGTTACAACGGGAGCCCGGGCTTTCCTTGCTCTCGCCCTCCCTGCTGCTGAGTGGGTTCCTGAGGTGATTCCGGAGACCCGCGCACTCCTGCGGAGATGGAGGCGTGAACTGCCATGGACGGGAATCGGGCTCCGCCAGCCAGAAACGCAGAGATGACGAGGCAGGAGGGCCAGTGTTGAATCTGCCCTGGGTCATAAGCTGAGTCTGGGAAGTGGGTGTTGAGGCTGTCACCAGCAAGTTGATTGTCCCTGTGGTCCTGAGACAGATTTCCCCATGTACCTTTTCAAAGGGCTCTGTTTCGGGTTTTCAGCCAACTCCTCAAACACAGAGCTCCCAGTATCTATTTTAGAGGATGTCATTTGTGTTCAAATGTTCTTATGTAAGAGCCAAAGGGTAACAATAAGATTTAAAATGAATGACAAATTGTAAACAACGTGATTCTTCAAACCTTCTTTTCTTACCCAGACTACTCCGCAACCCTTAGTAAAATACAGTTTGCCCAATGAGGCTTCACTTTAAAAGACAAATAATCCTAGAGAGTAGAGAAGCAAACTGTCTACCACCATTGTAGGAGTTTTCTCAGTATAATTCTTAAGTAGCTCCACCGAGTAAAAGAATGAAACTCTTTATTTCTATAATCATTTCAATAACATCAATAGGTTTTGCCAGTTCCCGCAGTAACCATTTGCTCTAGCTCAATTTGATGAGATGTCAGAACTGTCACTTTCTTCACTGGGCACAGTTGATGACCCTTCTCCCACACGTACACAAAGAGCTGAAACAGCAGTAGTTAATATCAATGTTTTCATGCTAGTGATACAAAACAAAACTTAAGAAGCCTGTATTTGGGCTTGTTGTTTACCTTTCTAATAATCCATATTTTATAAGTGAAGAATTGGAGAATAATTTAGGAGATTAATCAGGTCTACATACAGGATACAGGTATAGCCCCTTTCTTTAATAATCTAGATCTTGTTTGTGCTGTATAGTATTTTCTTGATTAACCAAGTGCAAAAGATATTGTATTTTGCATATATTCCAATTGTGTAGTATTTATAGAAAAACATTTCCAGTGTCTAATTTATGAAGTAGCTTTACTTTAAAAATATAATGGCTACATTGTGAATTGTTAGAGGTTACAGTTGTGGATCGATCTTAAAAGTACTTTTCCAGGGACTGGGGATATGGCTCAGTGTTAGAGGGCTTGCCTAGCATGTGTAAGGCCCTGGATTCCATCTCCATCACTGGGGGAAAAAGATCACTAACTAAAAAAACTACTAGTAATAATAGTAGGAATTTATTGAGCAAGGTGACAAGCACGTTACATACATTTTATCTTCCGAACAGGTTCATTATTAGCCACATTTTACAGATGAGAAAACCTTAACTATCACATCCACTTCCTGTCCCTAAATCTATTAGACATAGTTTCATAAATGTTGAATAAATTAATGATAAGCCTTAAAAAGGTTAATTTGTCTGAAGTCATGATACATGATTTTACACCAAGTTAAAGTTATTCCAGAAGATGAACTTTGAAAAAAAGAGTTTGTATCAGTGTCACAAAATGAACAGTTCAAGTGAATGGAAGATCCACTGAATGTTAGCTGAATATATTTCATCAGAATGTCAATTACTAAGAAATATGAGAGTCACTGTTAGTGTTCCCGACTAGTACCTAACCAGCAACTGTAAGGATGTAGGAACTGACCAAATTTGGCTAAAAAATCAAACTTGCACATGGGCTTGCATGACAAGCAACCATACTGTGGATCATGTTGCAAGCAAGTTCAAAAAGAGATATTTCTTGCATGATGAGTGAAATATAAGTCAAGATAAACACCAAAGACTAGGATACAGTAAAAATAAAAGGTGTGGATTTCATGAAAAGACCAGTGCCAAAGAAGATGGAGAAAAAAGATCCCAGAGAAAGGGGATTTTGAAAGAGATCCTATATCATAATGAACTTTTACATATTTCCCTCCCATTTGTGTTATGGTAAGGGATTTATTTGGCCTAGTCATCTAAAATAACTAAGTCTAAGAAGTAAGCATGAACCAAAATGTGGGTGTGGAGTTATATTATCTAATAGATTTCACCAAGGCCTTATGTATTTGTCTTTAATCCTGCTCCCTGAGGTGTCCCCCACAAAACAGCATTTCCCTTTGATTTTCACAATATAATCACAACATTATTTCACTTAATCTGTTCAGAACACAACTGGTTTTTCACTTTAAATATTCTTGATTAGGGGGAATAAAAGGTCTGAATTATTGTTGCTTTCACTCTTTTATTCTTAACTCCAAATGACTCAGCTACCTCTTTCTTGTGTTTTTCTTCCTACAACTTTTCAAATAAGCTAGCCTTTATATTCTTTTGCCTATTATTCAAAATTCAACACCTTGATCCATTTTTGTAAATATAGTATAATGTGATTCTATACAAACTTAAGCAGTTTAACTTTTACTTTTCTAAATGCACCATAGAATCTCAAGGATTAGTGAAAAAAGTATGTTATTATAAAACACATATTAAAACATAATTCACTAAATGGTGTGATGTCACACATACTTCAACAGTCTAGATATAAAAGCCAAACTAAATATTTGGAAGCAGCCTTAGATTTTTTGGAAGCAGGCAGAATAGAAATATTAACTTAATTAAAATAATTGGAGACATAACTTTAGAGATGTTTGCAACCATGTCAAAGTTAATCATTTGAAATGTTTCTTTTTTATCTTTTGTTTCTTAAAATGATCTCTTAATCCAGATTATGCCAATATTTAGTTTTATCTTTTTACTACTCTCCCTCTAGATTTCAATTAAATTAAAATATTTTGACCAAAATAGTCTCTGTTAAGATTTTATGGTATAGTAATAATTCTAAATAGTTTTAGATATAGAATTTACAAATGGTCCACTAACTGGAATCTGGGTGCTCCATGGATTTGACTTTTAGGAATTAGAACAGATAGGAAGGGAGGGAAACTTCCACTGGAAGAAGGACTTTCAAAAGTTTTTCCTTTTGGGACCAAATTGAGGAGAAAATAATGTAAATGTTTCTCCTGGAACTTCTAGCTAAGGACCTCTGACTTGTCCATTTTCCAAACTAGGCTAGGGGTCTTAATCTTCACTTACCATTTCTTCTGCACAGACACTTGCTCTGCACTGGACTTCAGATCTGCCACACAGACATGTTTTAATGTTTTTAGTTATTTAACATTTAGACAAAATGTCTTAAAGTTAGTTCCCTTCCTGGTAATTTCCTCAGAAATTAGATTTTGTATGTTTGCTAAATCTAGCTTTAATTTCTAGATTTTTGCGTTCTTAGGAATAATGTTTTATCATGTTATTTTTTCTCTTTTGTCTTATGCTTTTGAATGGGTTGATCACAGCACAGAATAATTGTGTGAGTAGTCCATGTTCTAAAATAGAGAAAAGGATAGAAGCCCCTTTTTTTCGCGAACCAAATTTTATATTGATCTTTCATATGATTTCAAAAGCAGGTATTCCATGCTGGCTCAAGGTGTATCCCTTGATCAGAAAAATTATCTAGGCAATTCTAATAAGACGAATAGTGATAAAACACATTATTCCTATAAAAAATATGGAAATATGGAAAACTTTCTCCAGAGGAAGTTCAGCATAATTTCTGGGAAAATATTATTATTTTCTTCCAAGGTAATTTAGTTAGCAACTATGAATTAAGAACTAAAGCTTCTGATATAACCAATCACCTGATAGCAATCGACGTTTCCAATCATTAGAGAAGCAAGTAGGAAGAAATCTTAACTGTAAATGGGCTTTCAGTGTATTGCTTAGGGCCAAATCTCCCTATAGATTTAAAAGGGGAGAAGAATCTGAAGAAAATAATTTTCACAAGTTTATCTGGGGAAAATAATTTTTCACAAGTTTATTTTTCTTCTACCTTTTATCATAGCCTATCTATGTATATATTGTATTCACATGGCTCTATCATATGATAACCCTTCTTTTTTAATATTTAGTAGATTTTTTTGCCGCTAAGGTAAACTGTATTACATCAAGACATGAATTATCTTGACCAAGATTTAAAGCACTCATCTTTGGGTAAAGAGAAATTGGCTTAAGTTGAGGTTATACCAATAGTAGACTCTTTTCAGTGCTCATCCATGCCGTATTAATCACAGTCTAATAAAAATTTCAGAGCCCATCAAGATAGTTTTCTTAACAGACAAATCCCTAGCCTACCCAGGAAGTCTAAGATGCATTTGGCCACTATTAGCAAAAGGCATGTAAACTCATTATTCAGCATTTTTTGTACCATCATGGTGGTAGCCCATGTTGTATCCCTTGATCAGAAAAAAATTGATTGATTTTGAGGATGCAGATGGCCAAGATACTTTTGGATTGGTAGGCAAAACACGAAAATTCACAGTTAATATGATAGAATGATAAGTGCAATGGGAGAAATGTTTAGTGCTATGCAGGGAGGAGTATCTAAAAGTTAGAGGGAAGACTATGGAGAGTATAATGCCTGTTTTAGGTATTAAAGGATGACCAACAAGCAGAAT